ATGCGTGGGGTAATGTTTTGTCTAGTAGAAGTTAGTTGGTCATGATCTTCTAGCCTATATCGCCCTGTGGTAAAGTGTGACGTAATTGTCTTGTAATATCTATAGTACTTGTATGCGTTTATGATGGTCGTATTGCGTGGAATAATGCCTTCCGGGAGATCCGTTTAAAGGTAACTGGCCTCTATTCAGGTGTTACAGACATGGAGAAAACCCGGAAAACTCCACGTGACCAGCCCGTCCTGGCGAAGCGCGAACCCACGACCGAACTCCCAGTGTTCAACGAACGGAAACGTTGACCAATGGTGGGCCATCGCGGGCTAATGCTCACACAACGAGAAATAACGCCACACTGAGCCGGAAAATGCATGGGTCACTCTTTGTTTTCGCAAAATTAGCAGTGAGATCACTTGGGCACGCTGACGAAAACAGACAAAGTTTTCCACGGAAAAATCGACGATAACCGAAGTAAACGAAAACCCAGGTATTACCGTGTTTCCCCGAAAATAAGACAGTGTCTTATATTAATTTTTTTCTCTGAAAAATGCGCTAGGTCTTATTTTCAGGGAATGTCTTATTTTTTCCAGGAAGAAGAATTCACATTTATTATTGAACAAAAAAATTCCCAAGTCGAACTTAGACGAGAGTGACGTATAACCGGTGTGTCGAACTGTCGCCTTTTTATAGCGTCACATCGGACTCGATGACCAATTAGTGCTTACTGAACCGTAGCACTATGCAAATGTAATGTGGCGTGATTCCCGGCCGACCAATTAGCCATCACCAGCCGTAACGTTATGCAAATCTGTGATTCCCAAGCCATAGTCTTATGCAAATCACGCCGTGTGGCGTAATTGTCTGCTGACCAATCAGTGGCTGTACTTTCAAAAAGCCAACGGCCACTTTCAACCATCTGTCGATGACCGTTACGACTAAAAAAAAACTTCGCTAGGTCTTACTTTCAGGGGGAGGTCTTATATTTCGCAATTCAGCAAAATCTGTGCTAGGTCTTATTTTCTGCAGATGTCTTATTTTCGGGGAAACACGGTACTGTACAGTACAGTACTTAATAAACTTTTATTAATAGTTGCTGCCACTATTTTCATTAGTCATTTAACTGTACATAGTATATCTATATATCAATATATAAATAAAAACGTTTGTTTGTTTGTTCGCTAAGCACGCATATACCGTTCGACCAATTGCTATGGAACTCGGCAACTGTTGGCCCATAAGTCCTGGCGTTTTTATAAATGAAAATTTTACGTGAAAAATAAAATGTTTTGGTAATGCGTTTTATGTTATTTGATAGAGAATTATGTACTCTACAAAATAGTGTGTTTAGTTTTTTATACTGGTGTGAAATCCGCGAATTTAAAGCAGTTGTCGGAAAAAAATGTAAACAACTCCAATAGAAAAAACTCTGCTGGTGAGAATTATATAGGAGGTCACCATTTGTGATAACAACTAGATGGGAAAGTTGACACATAGGTGTCAAGAATGCACCGTTAATGTCAACATATGACGATCATGTGACTTCTTTCCCAAGACAAGCGAATAAAAGCTCGAGCCCTAGAAGCTCAGGACGATTTCGTCATAGGAAGTTATATTTGATGAGAATGCCACCTCTACTCTATACAGCGGACCCGATCCAACTACAGGGAGAAGACACCGGTTAGAAGATACCGAGGACTCCTACCTCTTCCATACAGACGACGCGCCAACTCTCCATTTCGCCGAGAGGTATTTAGGGGATTTAGAATCTGTAAAAGCGATCTCTCTCAAATTAGGTCAGCGACAGAATTACGATATTAGTCGCCCATTTTATGTAAATATTATAGCATAACCGCATTTAACCTTAGTGTATTTTCGCCTCCTGTAACATAGATTTATTTTTCAATAAATGTTTTGTTTATTTGTTAAACCTGTTTCCTGTCGTTGAAAGGACGCCTGCCGGCTTACCGACGCACTCCCCACTCACTTTTTGCCCTCCTAGCCATCCAACGACTCCGAGAACGGGTTTTACTAGCCCATGCAGATTAAGTGGTCAGGAGGGATTAACCCCTGACTTCTGTTTGTCTCACACTGATATACTTTTTGTTCTTTTCAGGTCAATAAAATGGAGTGTCAAGTCGACAAAAAAAGCATTTTCGACACCTGCTTTTTGCGTTTAAAACATTGTACTGCTCGGCAGGAATTCGAAAGGACAGATATTCTAGATACACCTACTTCAAGTTCAGCGAAACCCAAATTATTACCACAGGACACCTTAATTTCCGGGGATTCATGGGATGAATTCATTTTAACCGAAATACCACAACAATCTGAAGGAAAATCTGAATTAGAAGACGTATCTGAGGATGAAGATGATGACACAGACGTACCCTCCACCGAGGAAGAACAAAGAGAGCAAACTCTCTCACACTCTTGCACTCTGCATTAAGAAGCCAAGGACCGGTGGAAGACAACCTTGGATCCCTCCACCTCCTCAACGAAGTCGGATTCCCAAATTTATCTCTCCTTCGACAAGCCGGTCCTCCGGAGGAAAGAAGTAAAATCTAGTCCAAATTTATAAAAAAGGGGGCCCAAAGTCAGAAGGAGAGGGGAGACTTAATCATGACCCTACAGTTCGCATAATTTACCCTATGGAAACCACAAAAGAAAGCAAATCTATTTTATTACTGTCATGTAATATTGCATACTAATTTATATCCAATGAACATTTATATTTATCTTGATACTTGCGTTGTTATGGTTTTGTTTTGACAGCGTAACAATAACAAAGAGAGAGTAAAATACATATCTGTAAACAATACGGTCGTAGAAACAACATGACCTGCGATTGTACGCGATAAACCTTTAATTATATCTTTATATTAATATATATATATATTTCCTGTCCCAAAGAAAGAGAGAGAGTCGTCATTTATATTAAATGCATAACGTCAGTATCATTTTGTCACCAAATCGATCTTGCTCACTCAGAACAAGCACGATTTTAGAAAGGCCGAGGTGGTATGAGACTCAGCACTACGTAATCTATTTACTTACTTAAATCATAACATAACTTCCTAACAATACCATTTTGTCGGATAACTGTCAACAACTTTCACACCTGGGAGCTAATCATTCGGTGAGTTCTCAGCAGCAAAAGTGACGCTTTCTCATAACCTTCCGAAATATTGTCTTAAATTCATCGGTTGAAGATAACAAGGTACTGAAAAATTGAGGCAGTCGTCGGCCGTTCTTCGAAAAGTGCAGTTGTCACACAGTTTAACTACACACATCGCCTCCGGCTCTTCCACCTTCTCGTTTACCTTAGTGAACTTCCTGATCACCTGTATTTAGTGAGTGCCATCCTTGGATTAACATCGTCGCCGAATACCTTATAGGACTATCTCGTCTCCTCCCCACCAAACTTTCCAACTCCGGTCAACGAGGTTGCTCCATCCTACGAAAATCCACCGTTACGTCAGGTATCTATTATCCCGCGTGTCTTTTCGTAAACTCTCTCTCTCAGAACTCGTTAAGGCATGGATATAATTATACATCCCCTTTATCCGATAGACCCCAGAGTCCATGTATGTTTTTAAATTTTTTCTTAAATAAACTTGGTTGTTTTGTTATCCTAGTTTCTGCGTGAGTCACTTCCGGTGCACTGTCTCTCACTCCATCGCCCGATAGCCGGCACATGCGACCGCTCGCGTGTGCGGGCGATTGGGCGTGACCTACGTGACCATATCGACAGTGATATGGTCACGTAGGTCACGTATAATGTCGAGGTTACATTTTTAATTATAAACCAGAAAAAATTTTGTCGATAAAGTGTTTCGTCACTTGGAGAAAAAAGACGAAATGTGACGTTATAAACCAATAGAGGTTTACATATATTCAAAAATCATTTCTCTATATACAACTGACAACGGATAATTGTGTAAAGAAACTAGAACTAAGGTTTTGTATACTCGAACGTAAATATTACATTACATTATTTATTTGCACTTGCATTTTTTACATCTTTACGATACAAATGGTTACTAGATCCAGCGTATTAGTGTTAAAAATGTCCATTTATTATAAATTTTGCTATCTTAAAATATAGCTTAGTATTGTTTTTAATATTATAAATTCTTCAAGTAATAACTACGATAAGTTATAAATTACGCTAAGCTAAGTTAAGCTAAGTTAAGATCTAGATATCCTATGATTATACAGTTCCTAGTTTTATATAACTAGTACTGTACAGTTGTGCGCTTTGCATACTTTTAGTAATACACATAATCTCTTCATTTCCAATGAAAATATTTTTCAATATTTTTAGTGTTTTTATTGAATTCTGGTTATATTTAATACATGAATGACAAAAATATCGATTTTTACTTTTTCAAGTAACTGATTTTGTTACTATAGTTTGTACTGTACATTTTAATGCACGTTGACATTTTCTCTGTATACTTTGCACAAGTTTAAAATAAATAACAACTTTTACAAGGTCCTATATAGATAAAGCAGACAGACGTATTCTAAGCGTTGAAACAAAGAGCAAATCTGTATTGAACATGGGTTTGAATATCTTTATTTGCGAATAAAGTCCCGTAAAAGTCGTGGCAAGACTATTTAAAAAGACCCGTGTGACCATTTTTGAGTTGCGGTCCGAAAAATATCTTAATTACAAGTGTACAGCACGATGATGGGTCTCATTATAATTTTATTAAACCAATGCGTTGTCTTATGCCATGAAAAGCAATCAAATAAATTTTTTTCAATTATATCGTTTGCGTATATTACATTGTTCCTTCCAATCTATCTTTTATATTTTGATATGTAATATCAATCTTTATAATTTATCAATAGATAAGCTTTTAGCTTTTATCAATAGACAATTTATCAATTAGATAAGCTTTGTAATTTTAAATCAAACATAATATTGTTGATAAATCTGAAAAAAACTGATCACGTGATGATTTACACCAATGAAATATTAACAGGCAAAAAATGATTACTTCTTCGTATCAGTAACTAACGGACTTTGGATCAACTAGTAAGAAAATTAGAAATGACATTTTCTACTTTGAAAAGAATTTTATGTCTATTGAAATTCGTCAATATAGTCGTAAGTACTGTTTAAAATTTTCCTCATTAACTCGCATATTATTTAAAGAACTTAAAACTATTTACATTTTTTCTAGAGAGATTCCCATACTTTAAGTCACGTACCATGGGCAAATTAGCTGTTCATTTGATGTGTTCGATGTTATTGAAGTCGTGATTTACACAGAAATCCAGACGGATGATCGAATCATTTACGCACATTTCAAGATGTGAAGGATCACAAATCAGTTTTATTTATATATGAATTCTCTTAAAGTTTGCAATCAGTTGTCTAATAGTAATATGCGTAATTGGTGCTGGTCTGAAAATTTGCGGTTGACAGGGGAGAATCCTGATCAAAATTTTTGACCGTGCTGAAAGTTATAATAAGAATAATAGGCATATCTCTAGCACTAAACAATAGGCAAAAACGTCATTTGGTTTGAATAAAAAGGTATGAACTATTATAAAACCCATTATATCTACACATGAAATATATGAAATATATAATAATGAAAAAGTATTAAAAATTTATGTTACTAATTCAATTTTTGTTGGCTCTCGACACTGGGGGCCCAGGGCTTTAGCCCTATTAGTCTCTATGCAGATCCGCCCTGTACACAATACATGTATGCCGACTGGGTACCGCAAGCTTTCGATGCAATCTGACCGTGTTAAATGCTTCGAATGACGTCATGCGCGCACTTGTATGCTGCGAAGAACCTCCACACGAGCAAGCGGTCGAGTTCTCGCAAGCATCGCACTGACTTAAAACGGCTAGCCGCAAGCTGCCAATGTAAAAGGAAATACAAATGATAAAAGAGTTTACACGTTAAATTATTATCATTGGCATATTTGTTCTCATACAAAAAATATATAAGAGTCAAAATTTTTTCTTAAACATGCGATGCATGCTAAGCAAGCCCAGAGAATTCTCTTCCTACCTCACTGTTATATTGCTGGATCTGTCATTGCCCACTAGGATGATCTCAATATAATAATCTCGCACAAATATTGTCTTGAAACGGAAAAACATATTACATTATAGTTTTCTTATGGCGCGTGATTCATGATGAGCCGTGTATAATTTTGTTTTATTCATTTTTTTCCGAAATTCCATTTTAATTATTATTTGCTTTTTCTCAATTTTTATTTCTCTGAATCGCTTGTTTTATTTTTAATTTTGACTAAAAACAATAAGTTAAATTTACAGGATATAATGAAAACATTATATGGACTAAACAGTTATATTTAATCAATAAATATAGAATTTGAACTGAATTGATGTTAAGAATTTATCAAATTTATATAATAGAGATAAATTTCGTGTTGCAATCATATCGTTAATATAGGGGAGACCGGGGCAAGATCGGCATGTTAAGCTTTACTTAAATTTTGTGTAATAAATACTGCTGTAAACTGAAAAAAAGCTTTGCATATTGTCTATTGGAATGTTACCTTACTATAGAACTGGTTAAAATCAGTTTGGAAATAAAAATAATTAAAATAATTACAACTTTACAAGAAGAGAGAAATTGACGAAGTTGCCCCGGGTATAGGGGCAAGATCGGCAACTTCTCTCTTTTTGTAAAGTTGTAATTATTTTAATTATTTTTATTAAAGTTGCCCCTGGTATAGGGGCAACAGTAATGGGGCAAGATAGGCACGTATATAAAATTATGTTATTAACAATGTATAAGTTGGAATTCACTATTAAAACAAAGAAATACAAATCCAACACCCATTTAATATTATTACAACGAAATGCAAGTTCAAAGACATATATACATGAATAACAAATGCAAACATGTTTTCATTTATCATCTGTTTGATTTTTATCCTTTGCTTCTAATGTGGCTTTATGTTGCCGATCTTACCCCGCTAGTCATGATTTCGAAACATTAAGTACAACCCTGAGAACAGAATGCCAAGCCACGATCTGGCCACGTGAATAAGTTGAAGTTACATCCTTCTAACAGGAAAAGTAACTTTCGTTATCATGGAATTATAACAAAACCTGCCAATTCAATATAAATGGAAAAAAAATATTATATGGAATTGAACGAAAATGAAAATTTGCTTGATAATTCAACTACGCTTGTTGGAGAACAATAAAAACACTACACTCAACAAGCCACCAATAAAACTCAACTGCCTAACCTATAACCAAAGTCTCCTTTTAATTTGTTTTTAAAAAAAAGCGCTTGACAAACTTGCCCCGCATGCCGAAGTTGCCCCGGTCTCCCCTACTGTAAGAGTTAAGTAAAACGTCGTAGAATAGGCCTACGTAGAACTTAATCTTATACACAAGCATAATTTTTTTTTAATATAACAGTTTTTAAAATAATAAATATAAACATAAATTCGAAATACAATTAAAATATTTTACTTATTCATTCTTTTAAAATAAATAACCAAGTTTTGTCTATTATAGTATTAAATTTTCATAAATTAAATATCAGTACATGGGCAGTGCATAGAGATGCTAAACGATTCCTATAAAATAGCAAGTACCGTTTACATATGTACGCATAAACTGTTATGCTTCAATTCGAACACAAACCCATAATAAAATACATTAACAATATAAACATATTGGGCTATACATATTGCTGTCGTGAATTACTAGAAGCATCAAATTAACATCTTAATAGGCGTCTGTAACACAGAAAGTTCCCGGAAAGACACACTTTGTATAACTTCCAAGTGTTCAATTGCCTTAACCAATTATCAAATCCTTCCCGTTAACCAATTATCAAAGCCTTCCCGTTAACCAATCATCAAATTCTTTCACTACTGTACTTACGCCAATGATCTACGATTAAGAATTGATAAAAATAATTTTAAATATTAATAGATGAAGTGTTGTTAAATTGTTCATTTATTTTTCGATTTCAACTTAATATTTAACAACTTTCCGACTATCATGGAAACGTTTTTTCTGAAATAAATTGTTAACAAGAGCAGTGGTTTTCAACTGTACCAGCCTTACACTCTAGATTCCACAAGGTCACTTCGGGATGCCAAGAAATCGATTTCTGGAAGAAGACAACACAACACTTCAGCGATCTGTCAGACAGGAAGTAACCGGGCGAATCAATGGGGAGCTGTCCCCTACTTAACTATTACCACTTACAACGGTTATAACCAGGACTTTAGAGCGGAGCTGGAGCTGGAGCTGGAGCACGAAAATTTGTAGTGTTCCACTGCTCCGATATATATATTTATTAGTGATGTGCCGCATATCCGTATCCGTATCCGCGGATATACATTTTTAACGATCCGGCACATAACTAATATTTATTTAATATTTGAGACGGTGAGAATGGAAGTGGCATAAGTTGTAATATTACAAATATTAAGAATACAATAATTGAACTAAAAAGAAAGGTGATCACAAGCACAGATGAATTTTACGTCCATTCCACATATTTCTTATGTGAAAGGTCTTTCTCTCCAGTCTTCACTATTCGCTGACCAAGCTATTCCTTTCCCTTCGTGATCCCCCAGTTCTCTGAATTCTTAACGATCGCAGATGTGGAGTTAATGGGGAGGGGTGCTAATGAGAAGCAGATTTTAAACTCTGCTTATAAGTGGCTTTTGTCATTAGCACAGAAATTTACTACTAGGAGCACCACTAATATTAATTTCTTACATTTGATTTTGAGTGTGACAGTCGTTTATTTCTGTTCGCAATCAGTTTGTTATAATCGTATATCATAATTCGTAATTTGTTTGCAGAGGTAAGATTATTATTATATGGTTATTTTGTATGCATGAATGTTTATATGCGTAATCTTTCAATTAATAACACTTAAATATTTGATTATTTAAGCCTTGACGTCAAACCAAAATTTAAAACCATCACCCATAATAAACAGTCGATTTACGGAAGAAGAGCTTAAAGAGATCTTGGTATTTGAATACGATAATGAAAATAAAAAATCAGTTACATGCAAGATGGAACACATTGTAAATGGCGAATCTATACAATGCAACTTCAAGGCAAGTGGAACTAGTGTGTCGAAAAAGTTCAATCTTTGGCGGCATGTGAAGCGTAATCATCCTGAAATTTACGAAGGGTTAGTTAAAAAGAAGGATCAACAAGATGAAGTCGCTGCAAGAATAAAACATAATCACGACAATCTTTCCATTGCACTTTCATGCCATAAGAAATGCAGAACTGATCAACCAAAAATTGATACATATTTTACATCATCGAAGATTACAATCACTATGGATAGCAATACTTACCGCGAGGGACTTGCTGAGATGGTTTGTATGAGTATGACACCACTCACTACGTTCACATTAAATAACAAAGGATTCCAAAAGATTGCTGGCGAAATGGCTCAGAAGCTTGGTGTTTCGATAGGACATGATGCTGTTCGTCATTTAGTAATAAGCACAGCATAGTCTGCGCGCATCAATCTAAGACAAACTTTAAATAGCATAATTGTCCTTTTAAAGCTAGATGCTGCAACCCGTGGAAACAGAAATTTTCTTGCCATCAATGTACAATTTTGGAATGAAAACAACGAGAAAACTGAAATAAAAAACATTGGATATTGTCGATATTGAAGGAAAACATAACTCTTTATATGTGAAAAATCAAATTTAAGAAACTTTAAACAAATTTGAAATTGATGAAAAACAAATACTAAGTATTTGTGTAGATAATGCAGTGAACATGACATGTGCCGTACATAAACTTGGCAATCATGAAAATATTTTCCAGGATAAAGATGAAAAAACTGAAGACAACATAGAAATGAATGTAGATTTTTAATCCACTGTGGCAAAATGCCACAGTGGATTAAAAATCCTTCCCTAATATTGCCAGAGTGGACTAATGATAATACGAAAATTTATCTAATATGGTGTGGGATTCACACTCTTCAACTGGCCATTTGGGATGGATTAAAGAATGAACGAATAACAAAAATATTAGGGAAAATTCGACGGGTTGTGGTAAAATTACGAACCCCAACAATTCGTAATGTTTTGCTGAAAATGTATAGT